GGGGGTAGAGACGCCCCTTCAGATATACTGGGCCGAGGCCGTTTAGGGCTTTAAAGACCAGCACCAACATTTTGAATTGTGCTCAGAAACGTACTGGGAGCCAATGTAGGTCTTTAAGGACCGGTGTAATATGGTCTCGGCAGCCACTCCCAGTCACCAGTTTGGCTGCCACATTCTGAAATCTTTCCCATGAGGTTTTAAAAATCATTATAGTGTTATAGTTTGTAGAAGTTACTTTAAATGGTGCTTCTCTCCCCCCCCCCAAGTGACAAATTTGCATTTGCAGTGTGCTCCTTCTTGACCTCCTTTAAGCTTGACTTGTAATTTGCTTCCCTTAGCTTAATAGAAGTTAGGTTTTGTTTGTCTCATCTGCCTCCCCTGTCTCTTACCTTGGAACAGCAATGAGTCACCATGGTACATATGCTGATTAACCCCCTGCCCAACAGTCTGTAACCTGAGGATAGTCATTAATTTGAAGGCAGCCTGATTTCAGCAGATTAACAGCCATGCTGCTTCCATATGCTTTTTAATGTTTTAAATGCTACGAGATGAAGTAATGAGATAAAGCAGTGTTTTATTCATGGAGGTTTTTTTAGCACACGTGCTAAATAATAGCTTTCCACTGCAATTTTGCTCATATTTCTGTAATTCCAAGTAACTATTCTTGACAGATCTCTTCAACTTGTCATCTGAGACCTTTTAAATGTGATTCCTGTATTGCAGAGCCTTAAACTAGATGGCCTATAGTGTCCCTTCAAACTCTACAATTCTCTGAGTCTGTGAAGTCGGTCAGTATTAGGCAAGAAACAAGGTGACTTACTTGTCCTGTACAATAATATTATTTGTTCTTAGCAATGGTGCAGGCTTTTTTGTACATTAGTCATGATGCTTGGGTAGATAACGTTCTTTGGCTTTTTGACTCCACAGGCCAGATCCGTATCAGAATCCTGACAGGTAGATAGAAAGGCAACCTAGTGTGTTTGGTTGCAACCAGGCCTAGAACAAAGTGGTGGGACAACACAAGTGATAGGTTGAAATAGGACCACATTTTTTAAAAATAATATATGCGGATGAAATGAGAAGTATGGGAAGATATCCTAAATCTCAGCTTTGGATAAGCTGAACCCTACACCTTCCAAGCAGCATGACAAAGCATAGCCCCAAAGTCCAGACATCGGGAGGCCTTCCTGCTCCATCCTCTCGTGCGTCCCCAAAGCTCCAGGTAGCTGCAGCAGGTGAACCTCAAGAATATTCCATATCCAGGCTAAGGGACTCGCAACCCAGGAGGAGCTGACCTCCAAGAACGTCCTTCACCTTCAAAGGCGCCTAAGGATGCTTATCTGCTCCCTTAGTTGACCTTAACCTTTCCTACACTTCCCTGCTAAGAATGTGATCTAATTTACCACACCATCAAATTAACTTATTTAACTGCACCCACACACTGACCGCGCCCCCCCCCCAATTCACTGCAGTAGAGGCAAAGCGCCTTGTCCAGCTTGGCCAATTTGCAGGTGGACATGGTCAACCACAACAATGCTCCCAAAAGCAGTTTTGCGCAGCTGACAGGGGTGGACATGCTTTCAACTTGAACGTTGCTAATTGTCCTCGTTAGAAATGCTCTGGAACTACTAAATGTCCAATGATAGATTCGTATAAATTGACAGAAGGCTGCAATTCTGTACATACTTACTTGTGCTGTAAAAATTACAAGATTAGGTTTGTGAAGTTTGTTGAACATTCAAAGTGTGATATAAATATTAAGTATAAGTATTATGAATAAGTGTAGCACCTTTCTGACTTATGTACTTATGGGAAAATGAAATTCATGATGTATCTCAATTCAAGTGAAAACTAAGCATGTATTTCCTCCCCTACACTGGAATGATATTGGTGTTGGGGAAAATTCATATGAGTAGCAGCCCTGATTCATTGATGACATAGCTAGAATGTTCACGGACCTGGAAAACTTGCCAGCAGACACCTGCTTTATCTTTTAAAGGCCTCTACAATCCCAATGAGCTACACGCATCCAGGAAACCAATAAATTACATTCCTTTATTCAGAAAGATGATCTTACAGCTGAAATAGTTTAAATTTAGACATACGGCCAGGCACAGTATACAACTCACCTCAACAACCGTGGTAAAGAGACAGGAACATAGTTTGGCATTTTGAAAAATGTCATGGGCTCAAGATCTACAGTTTATGTACGCCAGCCTGTGTTCTGTCTGGTGTACGTTAATACCATAGCAAATGTGGAGTGATATAAACTTGCTGTGGTAACATTCAGAAGGATTAAGCTGTCTCTCTAAACATCTGCATGACCATTGGTGGGTTGCATCAAATATCTTGCTTCCAGCAGTCAGTAAAACAATATGTGATGGGCTTTATGAGCCAAAAGAATTGTTTCCCTCTGCTGAAGTAGGCTGAATATAAAGATACTGGGCCAAGTTCATACCTAGTACAAATCTACCCCCGGGATGAAAATGGTCCATTTTATTCCATGTCTGATGGTCACTTTTAAATTCTTCAATTCTCTATGGTGGTTTGTTCAGACATTCCAAGACATTGGAGTTCATTTTTAAATCTCTCTTGGGAGACTGGCTGAAACAGTCTTGTTCCACTTGAAGGGGGACTGTAATCTGAATACGCTAGGAGGTGTAAAGCAAAATTAGTCTGGTGGTCTTTCTAAGGTCTTTGGGGAACGTAAGTCTGTCTAACAAACGCAATGCAAGCATACATATTTCTCAGAGCATTTTGCTTTCTGAGATGTAAGGACTGCCTAAGTGTAAACATAGCATTTTCTTGTCTGCCCAGACCCATTCAAAGGGCTTTATTTATTTATCTTATTTAAAGATACTAATCTTTAATTTCCAAGAGCAGCCATAAAACTTTTCACAGTTTTTGAGAGCAATGTAATATCTAATTGTAGTGCGTTTGCATACAGTGTAGAATACAGAAATGAATTTGAAATTCGGCCAGCCTAGGAAGGAAGCATTTCAAGTCTTTATGAATGCTATAAGACCTTATCTAATGTAAGGAATTATCTGCCATAGTGGATATAGACCCAATTATTTCCATTGCACATTACAAATTTTAAATGCCATTAGAGGAGAATCTTGTTCAATAAGAAATGGTCACGTCAAGGTAATCTGTGATCTTAAGATATATCTAGGTTACCAATCACATACGGGAAATGATCCTTAAAAGCGCCTGTCCTTTTTTATTTGCATGGTCTGAATGGTTAAACCTTCTGCTAGAGTAGTTTTCACCCTGAGGAGATGTCTTGAGTTCTTTGTGTCTCCTTTAAGAAAGTAGGTCTGTTCTCTGCCTGATTGCTCTGCCTCAGGAGAAGGCAATGAGAACAATAGCTGTCAGTCACTAAGCAGGCTGAGTGTGTCTGATCATAAAGTAGTTGCTCTGGAATTTTGCCACGATACTATTGTTATCAGAACAACATGAAAATAAAAAGCAGATGCTCTGAGCGCATGTTTAGCAAAATCTTGGTGAACTCCATATGACCTTTTTATGGGTTACTTCTAGTGCTTCCATTTTTATTTTTATTTCTTTATTAAAAAAACCCTTTTATATTTTCTCGTGAAAGGGAGAAAATAGGAGATCTTAGGAGGTACTTACTATTCATATGTAAGCTTTATGTGAAATAATGGATTTGATATAATACACTTTGACAGTGCACATTGACAGATTATCTATCACCTTAGGGCATAATGGAGCCATAGCACTGCATGGAATAACTGCTTTTGGATGTTTTTAATTATAATTGTTTTTAGAATGTTTTAAAGAGTGTGTTTTTGTTTTTGATTGTGGATTTGTTTGCCGCCCTGGTCTCATTCTGGAGGAAGGGCAGGATATTTAATAAATGCAATAAATGATAATAATATTTAAGAAGTTTTGAATAAGTTCACAAAAATAATTTCAAATATCCTGTCCTGTATTGATAAATACAGTCAAATAACTAAAGCAGTAATCAAGATAAAATTTTCACTTATGGGAAAATTTATCAAAGTTGTTACAGTTGCAGTGACTTGGTGGGGAATGATGAAACTCATCATTCCCCGTGTCATGTGAGCTGCTACCTTTTATAGGATCCAGAACATTTTGAAATGAACAATAAATGGAATGATGCATATAGAACATACTGAAGTTGTATTAAAGTTTCTCTTGAGGCCTTGCTAGAGGTTACACTCCGGCAAAAAATATTCACAATACATCAAAAAGTTGAGGGTTTGTTTTAGTCTCAAAGACTCCAGGGCCCATGCTTAAATCTCTCTCATTTAAACCAGTGAGACTGAAAGCCCCCAACTTTGAATAATTTTTACCAGTGTTAGCAATAATATCTCTAGGGGGGAAGTCAACAAGAAAATACAGAGAAACTAGATTTAAATTTGTACACAGACAGGGGTTCTTATTTCAGTTTTCTTGTTTGGAATATTTCTCTACATTTCCTTTAAAATGATCAGCTTCATTTGGTTAACATTTCCTGCAATAAAGCATGGATTCTCTCTACATGTGCTTCCAGAGAGGTGTTTATTGTGGGATTGATAATCCTCATGCATGCAAGTTGTTTGTTGTGTCCACGTGGCATTGCTGCCATCAAAATGTCAGCCCATATTTTCTCTACCCCTTTAGTTTGGATTTCTGGGGAGAATCCAATAAATTTAAAAATCCTGTTTACTGTATGTCAGTAACCGGTTTGCAATAATGAACTGGATAAATATTGCAACCCTCCTCCCAACCTTCTTTTTTATACAACCACCTATACTTGAGGAAAAGTAATGCACAACTCAAAAGCTTATGGTTCCAATGTTGGGAACATTTATCAGTCCAATGAAAAATCACTTGGCTTTTTTAAAAAAGAAAAAGCAAGCAAATCACTTTCGTGCTGCTAATTTCAAATTGCTGAGTCATAATAATTTAAGTACTGGAGAATAAGTGGTTCAGGGAGCCATTGTCACCCTTGCTTTTTGCTTTCCACTCAGCATGTGACAGTTACCACTGGGGACCGCACTGCAGTAGTCGCTGCCAATGCAAAAACGGAGCCTTGTGCAATCCCATCACTGGAGCCTGCCACTGTGCTGCTGGATTCAAGGGATGGCGCTGTGAAGAACACTGTGACCAAGGGACCTATGGAAACGATTGCCACCAGAAATGCCAGTGTCAGAATGGAGCCACTTGTGATCATGTGACTGGAGAATGCAGATGCCCTCCTGGATACACCGGAGCCTTGTATGCAACAGTTGTATTTGTTATATGTGTGGAATAGCAGCAGATTTCACGATATGCGTCATTTATTGCCGTGGGTGACAAGATGATCCATACTGCATCAGTGAGGGTTAAACAACTTGCTCTTTGCTTATGGTTGGGTTGGGAGTTGAATTTGCCTCTCAGTTCCAGGTCCAACTTGCTAAAACAGAAGATAAATATTAAGTACAGTTGTACTTTGGAAGTTGAACAGAATCTGTTCTGGAAGTCTGTTTGACTTCCAAAATGTTCGAAAACCAAAGGGCGGCTTCTGATGGACCGCAGGAAGCTCCTGCGGCCCATCAGAAGCCGCAGAAGCCCCGTCGGACGTTCGGCTTCCAAAAATCGTTCAAAAACCAGAACACTCACTTCCGGGTTTCGATTGGGTTTGGGAGCCGATTTGTTTGGGAGCCATGGCATTCAAGATCCAAGGTACAACTGTAATAGAAATATGGCAAAAACAACAAATCTTAAAGACTGTTGTAGATTAAGCTTTCACGATCTGCTGGACTGGGACCAGGGAAGCATGGGTTCAGCTCTTTGCTCAGTCTTTACTTTCATTTACCGTATTTTTCGCTCTATAACACGCACCTGACCATAACACGCACATCGTTTTTAGAGGAGGAAAACAAGGGAAAAAATATTCTGAATGAAACAGTGGACGTATCATTTTTGTGCTTCATGCTGTGGCCACAGACATGTGATCTGATGGTGAATTTGGGGTGACCCAATGCAAAAATCCTGAGAATCCCTGTGGATCCATGCTTTTTAACCACGTTTTTGCACCATTGCAGCCCCAGGCAACAGTGGGTGCGTGATTTTTTTTGGGGGGGGGACAGGCTGTAGCCATGGACATGCTATGTGCTCTGATGGTGAATTTTGGCTGACCCAATGCAAAGATCCTGAGGATCCATGTGGATCCATGCTTTGTAACCACGTTTTTGCACCATTGCAGCCCCAGGCAACAATGGGTGTGTGATTTTGGGGGGGCAGGCTGTAGCCATGGACATGCTGTGTGCTCTGATGGTGAATTTGGGGTGACCCAATGCAAAGATCCTGAGGATCCATGTGGATCCATGCTTTGTAACCACATTTTAAGTGGGGAGGGAAGGAAAAACACAGAAGGCTAAGAATGCAGGAGAGGGCTATAACGTGAGGAAAGGAAGGCAAAAGTTTCCACCCACCCACCCACACAAGCCAGCCAGCGTGCTCTCTCTCTCTCTCTCTCTCTCCCTCTCCCTCTCCCTCCCACCAGCATGACAGAAGAAAGCATTTTAACTGCATTAAGAACTATTTAGCAGCGAAACCTAAGCTTTGCCATCCCTTAAGAGGTACAGACACTGTAATCTTCCAGATCGCATGAATTTACAGGCAAAACACTGTTTAAGGATTTCATCCTTTTAAATGGAAGAAAGCATATTTGAATGCTGTGTGTCTCCAAAAACAAAAAGCAGGAAGTCAAATCAGAATTTTAAGCCGAACCTGTAATCTCTCTTCCCTTCACAAACATTGTTCCCTCCGGAGCAGGGAGAGGATAGAACGAAGGACGCTCTGCTCTCCTCTCTTCTTGCCTGGAGGGGAGGGGCTTTCCCTGCTCTTTGTTCCGTTTGAGCAAACACAGCAACGAAACAGAGCAGGGTGGGCAGTAAGACCCTGAGGCAGAATGCAGGAAAGCAACAGCTTCCTCTCTCACGGAGCTCCCTTCTCCCTGAAGCGCGGTTTGATTTTTGCCTCATTTTTCGGCTCCAGGGACCACACATTCGCTGCATAACACGCACAGACATTTCCCCTTCCTTTTTAGGAGAAAAAATCTGTGTGTTATAGAGCGAAAAATACGGTAATTATATTGAGCCAACCACAGTCTTTCTCAGTCTAATCCAGTGGTTCCCAATCTTTTTTTGGCCATGCCCCACCTAAGCATCTCTAAAATCCTGATGCCCCTCCCTTCCATGACATATAATACTTATTATTCAAAAAATGAACTCATATTCATGAAGGAAGCCTAAAAGGCCATTAAATTGGTCTAACTCATTCTCAAATTGTCCCCCTTAAAAATCAAATTGTCCCCTGTGTGTGTGTGGGGGGGTGCCCCATGTTGGGAACCACGGGTCTAACATATCATACAGGATTATAGTGAGTGGGGGAATGTATTCTTAGTTCCTTAGAGAACAATAGTGAATTTTTCTGTAGGCAGCCGCTATGGATGGCACTTTTTTGTTTTGAAGCTTGTACTGTAATTGTGGATCCCAGAGCAGAAGATATTCAAAATGGGTAAGATGCCCTTTGCTGAAACAATCTAAAGAATGGTAACTCTGGCCACAGTATTAGCAAAGTATCCTCAGAAGACAAAAAATTAGACAGTTACCAAATAATAGGGAATTGGGATTGCCCATGGTAAATAAGGGTACTTGGAGCATGTGCTGATTTAGTACATACCTTCAGGGGAACCCAGGCTGATAGATAAAAAAAGCTGATTGCCCCAGGCACAAATCCCACCCCCCTCCGTTCCTCAATGCACATACTAAAAGAAAAAAGGTAAGGTACTGAAAAGCCAGCTTCTCCTGGGGCACAAAAAGAAGCACTGTACAATTTCTACACCAGCCTTAATATTTTTCATACAATAGGGCTAAAATCCTGCAAACATTACCACAATTAGATAAGGGGGCATTGCAACCCAACTAATAAAATTAGAACTCATTAGAATTTTAACATCGCCCCCCCGACAGTGCAACTCAATTATAAATTGGACCAGGGAAGAAAAATTTGTAAGGAAGTAGACTTATTTCTGCAGTTCTTTAATTGCTAACATAGGGACAATTTACCAGGAATCACGTCTGCGTTCTCCATTGTAAGCTGGGGAGTTGTACTGCTTATGCAGCAAAACTCTTGGTGCAATGCTCCCTTTGTTTTTACGGATTAGTTTTGCATTCTTTAGCTGAAATAAATGTGCAGCCTATTAAAAGCACCAGAGAAATGCCAGTATATTTAAAAGTATCTGTAATATTTAATACGCTTTTCTTTCTTTTTTAGTTGTGAGGATCTCTGTCCTCCTGGTAAACATGGGCCACAGTGTGAAGAACGATGCCCATGTCAGAATGGTGGAGTATGTCATCATGTAACTGGGGAATGTGCCTGTCCTCCTGGATGGATGGTAAATATACCTTTATAAAAGAGTATAAGCTTCCGTTACTGCGGGCCTCTGGAGAAAAATGTAATTGGAACCACAGCCTAACATCAGGCAAGAAAAGAGGAAATGTGTCAGCACACAATACTATCATAAGGGATCAGAACCAAACCATTGCAAAAACATATGGTAATCGGCATCTACCAATTCGCAGGAGCCTAGACAGGAAGAGAAAATGTATGCTTTCTGTCCCACACAAGATGAATCACTTAAAGCTCTACCAAGTCAGTGACTTGTATTTATCTAAATTTCTGTCCTGCTTCTATAGTTGTATGGGAATTCATGTATGCATTTAAATTCTATTGCCCTATCCCTAAGGCTATGGACCACTTATACAAATATTTACAGCTTTACATTTTGTACAGAAGACGAGGACCTAAAGATAATTCCCCTATATACTCCATGAATATCCTCCAAACACTTCGTTGCAATTACAGAAAGCACCTGGCTTTTTGCTTTTTTCTATTTTGGTAGACCTCCACTTAGAGGAAGTTTTTCCAAAGTTTGGAAGCATCTTCCAAGAATGTGTCTCTTTTTGCCTTCCGTTTTGTATTTTATATTTGAAAACATAGTCAGAAGATAGCCACAGAGAGAGAGAGAGAGAGAGAGAGAGAAGTGCTGCAAGAATTCCAGGCTAGATGATGCCCTCTCCGAGATGAAGGCAGCCCTGGTTAGGGAAGTTTTTAATGTTTGGTGTTTTATCACTTTGATAAAATAATAAAAAAAATATAATAATAATCTGTTGGGAACCTGATTGGTGGGGTATAAACAATAAATTATTATTATTATTATTATTATTATTATTATTATTATTATTATTATCATCATCATCATCATCATCCAACTTCTCTCTGAGTCAGCATGCGGTTTGTTGTCCTCAGTTGTTTGTCACCATTGTTGTTCAAGCTTTATAGCTGCCATTCCATGAAGCCAACATACTTTTTAGAAAACGTTGATTAGATGAAGAATCTTACATATGCCAGGGGTCTGAGCAAAATCTGTGCAGCAGGGTTTTTTTTTATAAAAAAAAATAACAGAAAAATAAAATAAACTTTGACTTTAAAATTTACAGTTGAAAACAAATTTAAAATAAAAAGATTGATGTAACAAGTTATCTTTCCCTTTGAAGCATTTTGACTCTAAAGTATCTCCTTGTATTACAATGTATGCATGAACACAGAAGAGCTATATTTAAAATATCTAAATGTTTACTGTTGCTTAGAAATTAAATCTAGGATTAGATTTATTTTACAGAATGAACATTCCAACAAATTAGCACCCTAACACTTGAGGCAAACGTTTGTTGTGTTGCAAGCTAAAATGGTATCTGGCATTTTTAAGATGTGCACAAGCTGTCTGGTATACGAACATGTTAATCTCCTTGCTTCCTTCAGATCCCCCCTCGTCTTTCCCTCTCACAGCTGCACTCCCAGGCATAAAACTGAGATTCTGTTTCCAAACAGGGCACAGTCTGTGGTCAGCCTTGTCCTGAAGGGCGTTACGGAAAGAACTGCTCTCAAGAATGCCAGTGTCACAATGGGGGGACATGTGACTCAGCTACAGGGCAGTGTCACTGCAGCCCTGGTTACACAGGCGAACGGTAAGCAGATATAATTGCGCCACTTTGTACCATGGCTACTGAGAAGAAGGGAGAATTCCAATACAGTGGTACCTTGGTTCCCGAACGGCTTAGTAGTCGAACAAATCCGAACAAATCGGCTTCCACTTGAGTGCAGGAAGCTCCAGCAGCCAGTCAGAAGCTGAGACTTGGTTTTCAAACTGTTTCGGGACAGACTCGTGGAACAGATTAAGTTCAAGAACCAAGGTACCACTATACAGTGGTCCAGATTCAGTGGGGATGCTCAGTGGAGATTCCCCCTAAATTCCAAGATTCAGTATGTCCTCAAGAGTTATTCAGTAAACACCTGTTGACTGAATTCCTGTAGTGGATGGGGAGGGGGTGATACCACCTATCTGACCTCCTGACTGCAGAGTTGCTGCTTACCAGGAAGGGAGAGTATGATGGCCAAGGGTGTTGGGAGGTTGGCTCTCTGCAGGTGCAGCGGCAGGAGTGGCATATTGGGATGCAGGTGATGCTGAGCCTCTTGGGCTTGCCGATTGGAAGGTCGGTGGATCGAATCCCCGTGACGGGGTGAGCTCCCATTGCTTTGTCCCAGCTCCCGCCAACCTAGCAGTTCGAAAGCACACCAGTGCAAGTAGATAAATAGGTACCGCTGCGGCAGGAAGGCAAACAGCGTTTCTGTGTGCTTTGGTTTCCGTCACGGTGTTCCATTGCACCAGAAGCAGTTTAGTCATGCTGGCCACATGACCCGGAAACCTGTCTGTGGACAAACGCCGGCTCCCTCGGCCTGAAAGTGAGATGAATGCCGCAACCCCATAGTTGCCTTTGACTGGACTTAACCATCCAGGGGTTCTTTACCTTTACCTATTGGCTCCCACTCCTGCTCCTGCTAAACAGCAGTTACTCTGCTGCTGGGAGCTCAGGAAAGTGCAGCCATCCCACTATTGGAGAAAAAATATATACACTAGCTACTATAGATTTCTTTTTATAAAGTATTTTAAAACTGTTGTCCTGGAGAAAGACTGATTACATACTGGCTAATTATGACATCACTGCTCTGCTCCCCCTGCTGGTTCTGAGAAAGCTTGCAGCTCTACAATTACAATTCCACTTACCGTATTTTTCGCTCTATAAGACGCACTATTCCCCTCCTGAAAAGTAAGGGGAAATGTGTTTGCGTCTTACGGAGTGAATGCAGGCTGCACAGCTATGCCAGAAGCCAGAACAGCAAGAGGGATCTCTGTGCAGTGACGGGCTGCCCTTCTCCCTCCTCGGGGAAAAGCCTGCAAGCGCTGCACACACGCTCCACATGGCTCATGAAAGGGAGTGCTGAGCAGAGCCTGGGATGCATACAGGCTCTGCTCAGTGTTCCCTTTAAAGAATATTTTCCCCCTTGCATTCCCCCTCTAAAAACTAGGTGCGTCTTATGGTCAGGTTCGTCATATGGATTGAAAAATACGGTATTTTCTGTTTTTATGGCTCATGTCAGGACCCCAAATCCTGGTTAGCAAGTTGAAGTCTTTTGGAAGGAAGGAAGATGGGACCTGTTTCCCCCCTAGCTACGGAACTGGAACTCAGCATGTGTTTCCTTCCTTTTGTGATCAATATGCTGTTGCATTTTGCAGGCTACAAAAATATTGACTTGCAATGTTAGGCCTTTTGAGAATTAGAAGCTTGCAGTACTTATTTGGATGGGAGATGGAAGCACTCTTCCTTTCCTGACAACTAACATTTAAAATTCAGCAAGGTTTTGAATTCAAAGCTGACTCCTTGAATTTACAAAGTCTGCTTTTGAAATCTGGTGTTGAACGTATTAAGCTGCTTTCGGTGAATCTGAAGCATTTGGTCCTACATCTGCCTGCTCTGACTGGCAGAGGCTCAGCAGGTATTCCCCTTGTACCGGAGATCTTTTAACTGAAGATGCTGTCAATAAAATCTAGCAAGAGCTAACTGGGAAGAGCCCCAAAGAGATGAGAGAGACGTCATATTAAAAAACCAAAAAAACTAAAGGGGGAAAAGGGATGCTGGAGGGGCCCTGAATGACGGAGAGCAGAAGGTGGGGAACCCCATCCAGGACATGAGATTCCAAGTTCTGCATGAAATAAGAGGTGATGGAAAATGTGTGGTCTGATGTGTTGCTTGCCTTTCCCATTGCAAGGGGAAACTCATGAGATGGAGACCAAATGAGATGGGCGCATAATGGGACACCTGTCTATGAACTGTGGAAAGATAGTGGTGATGGCTTGATTGAAGCTCTTTTTTTCCTAGCCAGCACACATTTTTAGGCCACCTCATTTTTGGGCACTTCAGTTGTGGCTCAAAAGAAGTATGTAAGAAAAGCCTTGCTAGATTAGACCAAGGACACAGCTAGTCTTGCATCCTGTTTCCTACAGTGGCCAACCAGATGCCAAAGCAGGAATTGAGCCCCAAAACAGCAGCCTCTCCACGTCTGTTCCCAAGCAACTGGCATTATATGCTTCCCCAAGGTTAACAAAACATGACTAACAAAACCAACGTCTGGAAAAAGAAATGTCCTCAAACTGATGAATGCAACAACAAAAACCTACTAGAAATATTCAAAACCCTTTTAGAAATATAAATAAACATGAAAAAGTAAAACTAACTTATTTTTTTCCAGCAAACAACCTTGTCAGATGCATGAAACTTAAGGTTATGTATACTCCCCTACCCCAGATACTGGAAGTGAACTTGTCAGGTTGCATCTCGGAGAAAGGTTTATTTTCACAGCCCCATTTGTGAAGGAGGATCTGGTGGCATCTTCCCATAGCCTCTCTCAGCTAACAGAGTTTTGGTCTTTTGTGTTCCCTGCTTTCTGTGTGACATACCATCAGGAATCACTGTCAGAACTGGAGGGGAGGAAAAATTATGACAACTTCCCCAAGTGGGTTTATTTGCATCCTTGCCAAAGAAGGAACTTTGGCTCTGCTCCTTTTCATGTCAGTAGAACTTGTGCAAGAGACCTTCCCAATGGATTATTCCCTTTGCTACTATGTACTAAGAACTCCCTGTGCTCCCCATTTATGTTTCATCAAATCTTGCATACTGTCTGTGGTGTTTGAAAAGAATGTGTAGCAGCTGGCCTTAACCCTGGCCTCTTTTCCTAACTGTCAATTATCTCCATAACCATTTTTGTGTGTGTTGGAAGGAGCACAGAACATTGGTAGAGGCTTTCTTTCTTAGTTCTTGCTCCAACTACCACAGGAAATAACACACTATGCAGGTTTATTCATTGTGGATTTGACCCTGAAGTGAAGTGAAGGCACTTGTGTTTCGAGGGTAAAATGACTTCTCGTATGATGGATCCTGTTGGGTTCTTGTGGAAGAAAAATTTGGTTTAAAGTCATGTCTTATATTTCACATGTCAGAATTGTGGTAGAATTTTGGGTTCTAAGAAACAAGCATCTAAAGAAAATTCCCCCTTTCCTCTGAGGTATTATAAGTGCTGCATCTAGGGAGATAACATAATGGGGTGAACTCTCTCCCTCCGTGGTAGCTGGAAATAATTGGCTTAGAGCAGGTCAGACTACTTGGTCGTCTAGCTAAGTATTAACTATGACTAGCAGCAACTATCCAAGGTCTTCTCCATTATATGCATCCTCATCCTTTTAAATGGAGATACCAGGTTTGAAACTGAGACTTTATGCTTGCCAGGTGGTATGTACTACCATAGATTCCAGCGTATAAGATGACTTTTTAACCCCGGAAAATCCTCTAAAAAGTCAGGGGTCGTCTTATACGCCAGGTATGGGTTTGCTGGGCAGCAGCAGTGGGTGGCGGGCTCCGCTCCGTGCCAGGAGGAAGCCGACCAGCGAAGCCAGCTTAGCATTGCTGGGCAGCTTTGCTGGGCAGCTTCCTCCTGGTGTGGAACCCGCCACACACTGCCACTGCCCAGCGAAGCTGCTGCATATAAGACTGGGCGTATAAGTCGACCCCCTAAATTGGCAATTTGGGGGGTCGTCTTATACACCCAGTCGCCCAGTACGCCGGAATCTATGGTATATCACTGCGGTCCCTTTCCAGGAGCTTCCTGCAGCCAATCAGAAACTTTGGTTTTGGAAGTCGAACAGACTTCCGGAACGGATTCTGTTTGACTTCCAAGGTATGACTGTACTGTACTCATTTCCATGTTATTTGCTTCCAGCAAAAAAATCCATTTGCAAATAATATGGAAATGAGTGCTAAACTTGAGCTATATTCCGCTGTATTCTGGAAGTGGTTTTTACATTTTGTGAAAGCTCAAACATCATGTGGAGCCCAACAGGGAAATGTCCTGAAAATGTAATAAACTGCAGTGTGAATGCTGCGCTATTATCTCTAGGTTGCACACGTGTTTCTGGTCTGAATGATCTATGGTAGCGATAGTGTTGCCTTGCAACAAATGGATCTGAGTTTATATTCTTCTAGCCCTAACTGGTATGAAATAATCTGATTGGGAAGAACAGAGGTGGAATACTAATAAGACTTAAATAGTATCAGAAAGTGACCACATGGGGCTTCATGTGTGGCTATGCATCCCAATCTCTTTGAGAAACACACAGACACAAAACCTGTTAAGGTCTTGGAACTGACCTGTTTGGGCAGTTTTTCATATAAACCAGGCGAGTCCTCATCTCTTCATAGCCTTGGGTGGGTGGGAGAAATCAACTAGAAGAAAACATATATAATGTTCTAGTCAGTACATAGTCATTCTAAAGAAAAAGAAGCTGGCTGTTATTTGAGTGCGGAGATCTGACAAAAGTGGGATCGCTTCATACAAATGGGCTTTAAAAGATTAACCGTTGATTTAAATAGAAACAACAATCTCTTAGCATTTATCCTAGTCTATTATTAAGCAGTCCTTTAGCAGAGATTTGCTTTCTTCCTCTTGACTGTTTATATCTGGTAAAGAACAGTTGTGTTTTCTCTGTTGGTATACTAAGGATTCCACTTCCATCCTTTGTGTTTATGTTATATCATCGAACCATTGACCTGAATCATTTTAAAGGTGTTTGCAGAGGAACCTGCTTCACTTCCTCCTCATTCACATAGAAGTTTTGTACACTGGAGAACCCATCTGGTATTTCTTCAGCAATTATTTTCTCATGTTGTGCATGTTTATATCCTTGTCCCTTTGCACCCAAATTTACTGTGTAAGCGAAAGCTTGGCTTGAAATTTTCTTCCTTTTATTTTTTAGAGTTGTGCATTCCTTTCACAGCCTCCTACACGCTATACCTTTAAAGCCCCCTCCCCCCAATAATTGCAGTTTGTTAAGGGTTGCTGTGAATTGTAACTCCGTGGGAGGTAAACTAGAATGCCCAGAATTCTTTGAGGTACAGAATTTACTTTGAATGTGCTTTAAAGGTACAGTGTGGGTGCAGCTATTGCCATTGTGGAAGGAATTAGGAATGGAGATTCCAAATAGAACTTCAAAATATTTTAATAGAAAGTAAAGAACATGTCTCTGTCCCCGACTTTCTCAACAGATGCCAAGATGAATGTCCAGTGGGAACCTTTGGAGTACAATGTGCAGAGACGTGCCAATGCATGAATGGTGGGAAATGCTATCACATTAGTGGTGCATGCCTTTGTGAGCCAGGATACACAGGAGAACGCTGCGAAACAAGACTGTGCTCCGAAGGTGTCTATGGTCTCAAATGTGACAAAAAATGCCCCTGCTATTTGCCAAATACTCACAGGTAATCTTCTAGAACTTTTGGCAGACATTCTTGTTCTATGCTGGTCCAGGCAACTTCAGTTGGCCAAATATAGAGGGAGCTAGACTAAGGTCTTATATAAGGAGATTTCTGTTGCTTCTCTGCAGTATTGAGATGACATTCTTGGTAGCTACTAACCACAGGTCTGAAGCTCCTTGGTTTCTAGTCCAATGTGCCAGTACCTGAAAGGATGGTTAGTTTTCCCATTCATTTCTCAGAAAAGAATAGTGAAGATTGCTTGTAAATAGGAAGTCTTGACTGCCTTTTCTAAGTATCAGTCATCTTTTGCTGCAGTTTTACCAGTTGTGGGCGATAGGTAGAATTAGTTAAGTGGTTGAATCAGGTTGAAACTGGGAATAAATGAAAACACTTTTGTGAGAGAGCAGAAGACAGCTGCTGTTTCAAAAAGGGGAAGGGAGCACAACTATATGCACACAAGCCTGGGCATGCATGCAGTGGGGCTTGCTGCATTTAATCCAGTATTTAAGATGTATATACATTTTTAAGCAAGATTGCTGTGGCAAGCAGTCAGAGAGCTAATCCTTACATGGTGGAATCCATGGTTTTTGGCAGAGTTTATGGTTCAACTGTTGCGCCAAGTGGCAGAGAAGCTTTAAAAGAAATGTTTTCACTGTTATGTGGCATCATGATCAGCAAGGATTATATATTTAAACATTGTGATTGCTCGATGTGTTCGGTAATTGACGTGGGAGCCGGTTACATTCCTTTCTCATTTTCATTAACTTGACTTTTCACTAGTGTGCTTCCTGTTTTCCGATGTGCCATTTCCCCGTGGGCAATAGGTAATGTAGTAACTACCAGGTTGAGCTAGTTAAATGAAGAAAGTTTTACCAAATCAATGCACCTTGCTTCTGTTAAAATCTGTATGTAGGAGCTACAATTAAGCTTTTAGAAGATTAACTGAAGTCTGCTATAAACATTTTACATTGACAAGAATGTATGGCACAGCACTGTGTAGCATTTCTGATATTTCAAGGTTAATGCTTGATTCATGTTCAACACAGCTGTTCCTTCATTTATACCACTGGAAAGACAGCTTTGGTCAAGTCAAACTGCAGATGTTCAGATGTAAACAGAAGCATGTGACTATTTTTGAACATGTTTTTGACATTTCCTCTTTTCTGTGACAAATGGAATGGACTTAGAAATAATGTAGGCGTGGGAGCATCTGTTTGTTAATTCTACAGTTTACTTCAAAAGAGCAAATGGTTTAAGTTGGCAGTATAGGATGAAAGCAAAACATTTCAGATATGCCTGAACATATCCAAAATATATTCACATGTCTCTTTAAAAAGTGTGTCTTAACACACTGTATGCACCATTCAATAGCATAAAAACATTGGATTTCGCCGTGGGGTACTGATACGTGGGTGGCGCTGTGGTCTAAACCACTGAGCCTCTTGGGCTTGCCAATCAGAAGGTTGGCGGTTCGAATCCCCACGACGGGGTGAGCTCCCGTTGCTCTGTCCCAGCTCCTGCCAACCTAGCAGTTTGAAAGCACACCAGTGCAAGTAGATAAATAGGTATTGCTGCGGCAGGAAGGTAAACGGCGTTTCCGTGTGCTCAGGCTTCCGTCACAGTAGCAGTTTAGTCATGCTGGCCACATGACCCAGAAAGCTGTCTGGACAAACACCGGCTCCCTCGGCCTGAAAGCGAGATGAGTGCCTCAACCCCATAGCTGCCTTTGACTGGACTTAACCGTCCAGGGGTCCTTTACCATTTTTTTACCTTTAGTCATATACTATTTCCCATCAGTCTCTTATCCTCAGCAATAGGCTCTACTTTAGCTCTTCCCAAAGAAAGTCTGGGGCATGGAGGCAAGTTTCTTCCTTTCAATGTACTGTATTGCCAACCTCTGCCATTCAGAGCTTTGACTTTCAAAACAGTAGTCACCATGAAAGTGCAGCCGTGCCCTCATATCCTGTTTGTCTCAAAGGCATCTGGTTGGTCACTGGAAAGCAGGATGCTGGACCAGCTAAGCCTTTGGTCTGATCTGGCCATACCTGCAGAATGATAAGTACTATCCATAAGAGTATAGGCACAATGTATCTGGCATCTTTGCATAATTTGTCACTGGCAGTAAAATATTTGATTAATTGCAGATTTAGATACTAATTTGATGTCCTGCGTGCAAGCAGATTCCCTAAGATGTGAACTTAAGAGATAAGTAGGTGCCGCATTTCTTAACATCTGTGTGCGCTGTGCATTGCCAATTAAACTAACTAAACACGAGCCATCAAAAGCTTCCAAAGTGTTTCTGCTTCCTATATTTTAATTACAAATTACGGAATACTAATTTTGGTGTCAATCAATATGTGCGCAGCTATGGCTTCCTAGCACACTGTGGTTGGGGAACAGGGCGACAGAATATCAATGTCACAGTTTGACTTCTACTTAAAGAGAAAGAGAGAAAATGAACGAACAGGGATTTCTTATTCCCCAAAGACTTAAAGAAGAACAAGTGGAGCTGTGCTTATTCAGTGGGGCTTTCCTGGCTCCTACCGCTGCACCCGATGCATCTGCTCCTGAGAGTCAAGGGGCCCCCTGGAAAACTGTGGGATGAATCTCAAGGAATGTAGCGGGACTTGGGAATTTGCAGAATGCTGTTGAGGCCTTTGTTGTGCAAGAAGAAGTGATATGGGAAGCAGCTATAGTTCACTGGTCAAGATCGGTATTATCTACATGGACGGACAGACAGCAGCCCTTCAAGATTTCAGACTGGGGTCTCACCCAGCTCTACCTAGAGATGCCAAGAATTAAACCTGACACTTTCTGCATGCAGAGCGGCTAATGTACCACTGGGCTACAGTCTTTCCCCTTTAGATACTTAGACGGCTAGCCTCACTTAGATTCACTTTTACTAAGCTGCGATTCAAGCTATGCCCTCCACCAACCTGGACAGACGATATAGCAAGGTACCATACAAAGACAGACTATGTATTTGTGGGCAACCGTGGGGAAGACATCTTGCACTATTTACTATTTTGCCCACTATACATTGGACCCTGGAGGTGATTTCTCACCCTACTGTCTGTGCAGGAAAGATGCCTCTCCCTGTCAGAGAAGGTCCTATGGCTTCTTAGCGATGTAAACGCTTCAGTGACTCATAAAGTCACTCACTTTTTGCTTTGGTGGCCCAAAAGATCGGAAAGAAGACGCTGGACAATATAGGTGTGAACTGTAAGGGAGACACAGAGATCTAAATAAAGGTAAAGGTAAAGGGACACCTGAACATTAGATCCAGTCGTGACCGACTCTGGGGTTGTGGCGCTCATCTCTCTTTATTGGCCGAGGGAGCCGGCGTACAGCTTCCGGGTCATGTGGCCAGCATGACTAAGCTGCTTCTGGCGAACCAGAGCAGCGCACGGAAACGCCATTTACCTTCCCACCGGAGTGGTACCTATTTATCTCCTTGCACCTTGATGTGCTTTCGAACTGCTAGGTGGGCAGGAGCAGGGACCGAGCAACGGGAGCTCACCCCGTCGTGGGGATTTGAACCGCCGACCTTCTGATCAGCAAGTCCTAGTCAGTGGTTTAACCCACAGCGCCACCCGCATTGCTTCTATTTCTTTTTAATTCAGATTTGTCGTGGCCAGTGGCTAGTGCGATAAAGTTATTTAGATTGGGTCCTTATATGGAAACAGCCACCTTTTACCCCTGAGACAATGTCCATGGGAGGGAACACATGTCATCATCTGCCATCACTCCCAGGATTAGTCGTCACCCCCAGGATCATTTGAAATGTGCATACCAGGAGCTGCAATTTCTCACTACGTGGAACGGCTATTAGCTCTTTAAGAAGGTTTTGTTTATTTTTTTTAAGCAGCATTTGGATATTGGGGATAGAAGCGCTCTTAAAGTTTGAGTACTCCTTGGAATGGAGCTGTCGTCTTGGGTTTTGAAAACAGGCTACATGCAGCACGCCTGTGTAGGCGAGCACTTCATACAAGCCTCTTCTCATAAGGAGAACTGAGCACCATTGAAGCAAGCCCACTACCCATATCATTTTCTCCGACCTTCTCAAATGGAATATAATAATAATAATAATAATAATAATAATAATAATAATAATAATAATAATAAAAAATTGTTTGTGCCCCGCCCATCTTACTGGGCTGCCCCAGCCACTCTGGGCAGCTTCCAGCATATATAAATACATAGTAAAACATCAAACATTGAAAACTTCCCTAAACAGGGCTGCCTTCAGATGTCTTCTAAAAGTCAGATAGTTGTTTATTTCCTTGACATCTGATGGGAGGGTGTTCCACAGGGCGGGTGCCACTACCGAGGAGGCCCTCTGCCTGGTTCCCTGTAGCTTCACTTCTCTCAGTAAGGGAACCACCAGAAAGCCCTCGGAGCTGGACCTCAGTGTCTGGGCTGAACAATAGGGGTGGAGACAATCCTTCAGGTATGCTGGGCCGAGGCCGTTTAGAGCTTTAAAGGTCAGCACCAACACTTTGAATTGTGCTCAGAAACATACTGGGAGCAAATGTAGATCTTTCAGGACCAGTGTTATATGGTCTCAGAGGCTGCTCCCAGTCACCAGTCTAGCCGCCGCACTCTGGATTAATTGTGAACTGCCTTGAAAACCAAAGATTGAAAATTAGGATCAAATATTTCAAATAATCAAATAGTAATGAATAATCTTAGTCCGCTATGTTTCCCAAAGATTTCAGAAACATGCAACACATAATATATCAGCTAGAAAAAAATGTGCACTTCCTTCTTTCTGCAGATTGGAGTTTAATGGAAAACTTACTTTATACTTGTGTGTCTGTTTTTATGCTTTTTGTTTTACTCTCATAAGAAAGCCAGTGTCTTTTGGTGGTCACAGCATTTAGTAATAGTGATAAAGAACATCAAGCATTAAGGAAGTTATATTAAATGAGCAAGGAGTCTTACAGCGAGGATTTCCCCCGCAAATCACTGAAGGAAGGCCATCTCCAGCCATAATTCATTTGATGTGTCTGGATTTTGGTACATCCTCCCCCTTCAGGATGCCTTGGGGAATATTACTTCAATCAGTGATCAGAGTCCATCTTTAAACAAGCTGTCTATTGTAAACATAATTGATCTGGATATTAAGGCTTCCCTTTGGTGAGCGTTAAGCTGAGTGCTTTGTCTGCCAGAGAACCACAGAGCACCCCTTTGTGTCCACTTTCCCGGCACATATATCTTAGCGCAGCTGATGGTGTCCATTTGTTACAAGACAACAGCTGTGTGGCTGTTACTGAATGAAGCTGCTATTGAATGGAGCTGCTGTTTTCAGGTAAAGACAGCTGGTCTTTCACCAGGTATAGAAACCACAGGCTATCCATATTCTCCAAGGTTGTAAAAGTGCCCCGACCTTTCTTCTGTAAAAGTGATTTGGCGTCATTTCAAGGAAGGAAATCTGTTGCAGGCTAGCACACCACTTTAAGCGAGGGGAAGCATATATAGGTTTCTTACTCAGGGCCAAACTACATATGAGTTAAATGCATATTTGCACAGGATTTATTTAATTTTAAATTCAAATTCACAGCATCAGCTGTGAGGGCAGGTATTAAGGCAAGTACAGCAGACGTGGAAGCAATTTAACCCTTTCTTCCACTGCTGTAGGAATCCCTGCTCTGAAGCTCTGGGATGAAATTCCACACTGCACGTTAAATGCAAGAATGCCTTTTAACGCCATATCTTTAGTTTTAACTCACAAAGAAGCTCATGGATGTATCATAAAGGAGCACTAAGTTTCAATATGGTCTTCATAATAAAGCAGAATGCAAATTATGAGCATGAGTTTAGTGGTAGTCAATTTGTGGGAATAGGTGGGTGAGTTGCACCCTAATGAGCCATCAGTGAAACACAGAGGTTTTTACACTTCATTTGAAAGGATATTATGGTTGTTTATTCGGATTACTTTTATCACAGCCCACCCCAGAAATTAATTCTAACCATACCCATGTGACAGGAAATTTTCCACAATACAAAAGGAATGTTTTTTAATTATTTAAGATACGAAATAAATAGAAGTCTGATTTACTATTACATAGCTAACATAATATTACAGCATGTGTTCCTGTATCCCCACCCACTCCAATGCATGCATTTTCATTTTATTTTTAAAGCCCTCTGTGTGAAATCCTTTTATAATGTGTCTGTAAGAGTATTTTGCTGCATTGGATTCTTGGTGTCATATTTAACTCCAAATGTTTTATTCCTTTCATGCGTTGGTCACAGCTGTCATCCTATGTCTGGAGAATGTTCCTGCAAGCCAGGCCGGTCTGGACTCTACTGTAATGAGACATGTTCCCCGGGATTCTATGGAGAATCTTGTCAACAGATTTGCAGTTGCCAAAATGGTGCTGACTGTGACAGTGTGACTGGAAAATGCATCTGTGCCCCAGGATTTAAGGTACACGATTTCGATTGTCATTGACTATTCCTCATTGGCTGTCTCAGCAGCTATCAGTCCTTTGAACACAGTGACTGCATTTTCCTGACGCTTCCTACTTGATAATTTTTATGTATTATGTGATCTGTCAAATGTCATAAAGGCCACTTCTGAGAATCTAGTGGAAGTCTAACATCCATTTCCACATTAATCGCCTGTAGAAAAAAAATAAAATCTGTTTACAACCTCATTAACCCAGAAAATGGTTGGATGAAAGAAATTTGGGGTACAGGTCTTTTTTGCCATTTTCATGTGTGAATCAAGGGGGAACAGAAGCACATAAAGGGTGCCAGCGTGTCACACCACACCCATCGGTGTGAATGAAATTTAGTGTGCCACAGTTCTATATTTATTTTAAAAAGCAACAGTTCAGTAATGCAACAGTGGATGGAAAGGGAATGTTAGAAATCAAGACAGAAGCGGTAGCATTGTAACAAGGAAAGCTAACACAATATCCGCCACTTCCAAATGTGTCCACTGAGTTGCTTGTAGTGGTAACTGATAAAATGTAGGTGAACCAATCGCCTTAAAAAAAAAAATAAACTGAATTTTAAAATGAATGTCAGGAGGGGGATAGCCTTAAGATCACACCTACAGGTTCTGGAATTCAATAAAGCAATCTATTAGAATCTCCTCGTCTGTATTTGAGAATAAGAAAAATGGAAAGCTGCTAATCCATTTGCCCTCCTTGGGCGGGCTGCTTTGTGGGCACCGCGTCTCCCCTGTGAACTGGCCTATTGCCAGCCGGATCAGACTCCTGCCTCCAAATTGGCCAATGGTGGCAGGACTCTAGGGGGCGTTCACCTGGGTGCGATGCCAACTGACCAGTATCAACACTTGGCCCCGCGCCCAGGAGAAGGATAAATACCTGGCTGGCAGGGCCAGTGGAAAAGAAGCAGAGGGAACTATGGGAAGTTCTGATCCAGATATTTAAGTGACAGCGTGTAATTCTCATTATAACTTGAATTATTGGTGTAAACCTGACATCTAATGTAGCAGCCAATCACCTGTGTTTATATAAAAATGTAATGCTCATAATACAATCTTAAAAGCAATGATACTTTTTCTTGTCAAAAAGTTCTGTTACACTTTTTGCTGTTCTTCTTTTCCACCTATTTCTACTTACATTGTATGCCTTTACTTGCCTCTGCTTATAGTAGAAGTAACAGGAATAAGGGTGAAATTGTGAAATGATGCATTATCTTTCATGCCAGCTAATATGAAATTAGTATCTTTTATTAAGGATGATGTGGCAGTCTAGCAGGTTTGGCTTCTGCTATTAAATTTGCTTTGTGTCAAAAAGAAATAGCAGCAACTGGATGTATAAGCTAAGCCCCTTAGCTAACTTGCCAGAGCTTAAGTAGGGGGACATAACACTCAGATGTGCATATGAATTTCCATGAAATTGAAAGCAGTAGACACCATGTGCACTTGGGTGCGCATTATTCTGTACATCAAATTTTCACCTGCAGTTCCTAAGAGCTAGGGCATCTGAGACACTCTGCAGAGTTTCTGTATATCATGACAGAAAAGAGGAAAACACTGTGGAAATGCAAATTTTACACATTCTTATTTATTATAGATTATGCACTTCTTAATATTTGCACAATTTCAGAGTGAGCATATGGATATCTAGAATGCACTAAGAGACTTTCATATATTATATTTTTCCTGCCTGGGGATAATCTCAGTAAGAAAATATGTTTATGTTGCATGTTTGTTTGTTTGCAGTGAATATGCTATGTGCAAGCAGTCAGTAGGTGCAGATTATCTCTTGCACAGAGATGTAGGACAATGCATATGAAGATATATGCTCTGCTTTAAAATTCAGTAATGGCAATTATTCATTTAGAGCCTGCTTGTGTAGTCATTGAAATCAAAAGGCCAACAACTTTCCTTTCAATTGCAATACGGCTTTTCTTTTTGTCAACCATGTTTTAGGGTTCTGATTGCTCTATTCCTTGCCTTCTTGGAACATACGGAGTAAAATGTTCCTCAACATGCAACTGCAAAAATGAGGCCATCTGTTCCCCTGTGGATGGTTCTTGTACCTGCAAAGCAGGTAGGATAAATAATGTACTACTTTAGTCATATGAAACATTAATTTATTTTTTTAAGGCAAGAAGTGGGACATGGATTTTAAATCACTTACTAACTGGATGTTAAGGCAAAGGGCTGCTGAGACCTTCTAATGTTACCAGAGGTGTTAAATATAAGCAGAACTGCAAAATGAAAAAGTAAGAATGGAATCCCCCTCCCCTCTTCTGTGGTTTCTGCTCATGCAACCAAGCTCTTCTCAAAATCTCAACAAATTTGATCCTACTATTCTGCAGTACTGAGGAGTTGAGACAATTAAATGGACCACAAATACATGATTTTAAATTAATGTTTGGGGATGCTAGCATCATCTCAGAAAGGACCTAAATATCCAACATAACAAATAAGCAAATGGAAAAGAGCTATAAGATAACAATTGTAACCAGCCTTTGACTATAGGAAATGCATTTTTATTTATTGTGTTAAGTGCACAGTGGCCTGCGTCAACAAAGTGCCTTTCCTAAACAGCTAATTATGCAGCTAGAGACTCTGGTCATGAGACAAATTCATCACAGAACATGTGCTTTGAACAACATATTGATTAGATTCAGCACAGAGTTATTTTTCTTCCCCTTGCTGTAAGTGAAGTAAAAAATTAGGAATCCTGTCTGTGTCACTATTGATTACACAGAATTGCATTTATTTTTAATTTTAACTAGACGGGGCATCTCCACCACATTTCCTATGCTTTTATGGACCAAAATGTTCACAAGTATCAGCTTAAAACTAATTGTTCTTGGACAGCTCAGATCCTTTTTAACAAAGGCTCCTTTCCCTTCAGCTATTATATATTTGTATCTTACTCTCACATAAAATATTTAGGGAAAGGTATTGATAATCCCTACTGGGTAATTTCTAACATCTATCCCAAGACAAATGGTGTGTTTTTTGTTTTTTTAAAAAGCTGTGTGTTATGCTAAAATTCTCAGTCAAAACTGTATCTTCACATCAGAAGTCTATCTGGCCCTCAGGACTCTCCCTAAACTGGCCTGAACCTGCCGTGTTACTGCATAGTGACCTTGCCAGCAGTTCACTTTTGATAGTAGCAAAGCTGAGCTCCTATCCATGTCCATTTGGCATCTTAATGTTCCTAAAATGTAAGCCAGCCCCCTCTCCCTGGCTGGATAGGTGTGTGGGTGTCTGATTTTGCATGACTAGAAAGTAACCTATTGTACAAAGTCACATTTATTGCTCTGTCTGCTTTTGCCTCTCAGACATGCAGTCTCCAGACATGTAGTCCCCAGAAAGTTGTCCATAAGGGAATTGTGCCCTCCCTTATCTATAGGCCAGAACATTGCATTACAGATAAATTAAAATGGTGGGAGACCACCATGGATAGGCACTCAGCTTGGCTCTGATTCAGTTGTGGCACTGCTGCCCACCATCCACTAAAATCCCACCCAGGAAGTGGGTAGGCAGGGTGGTGAGTGGCACTGTTGGTGCCACTGCAAAGACAGCAGAATATAAGAAGAAGGGGGGAAAAACAGTTGTGGCCATCTTTCAGAAAGGGAGCCCATATATTGCACGGCACTAAGCATCCCCGGAAATCTGACATTGATTGTTAGAAGAAATAGGCAGGAAGAATTTGAAAACTAGAACTCTCTACTGAAAAGAGGTGTTTTGTTTTCATTGTGGCAGGTTGGCATGGAGTTGACTGTTCTATAAACTGCCCTAGTGGGACGTGGGGTCTTGGCTGCAATTTAACATGCCAGTGCCTTAACGGAGGGGCATGCAATACTCTGGATGGAACCTGCACCTGTGCTCCAGGATGGAGAGGAGAAAAATGTGAATACCCTTGCCAGGTAATTAAACACATTCCACTAAAAGGTGGGGTTTGTGAGTTTCAATATTCATAGAAATGTTTAAGCTGTCCTGCTAAATTTAAGATGTAACGCTGTTTAAAGGGGTGTATGGAGTGCTAGGGGACAGGTAATACCTCTGGTGGGTGGCATATTGTCTTCCTTCTGGGGTAGTTTTGTCCAGCTTTGGTCCCCACCCTGTACTCTGCTCTCACCTGTGGTTCCTAAAAGCTGTCAGCATGCAACAGAGGCTGCACCCTGGGAAACAGCTTTGACTGGCCGGCTAAACCAGGTGAGGGTAGCCAATGGGTCTTAAACCCCCAGTGAGTTAAGGATTTCCCCTGCATGCAAAGACAGGCTCCGGCAGCTTGAGCGGACGAGACCAATAGCGGGTCCAGTGGTCAAAAAGGTGGTTTCTGCTTGTGCTGTAGAGGGAAGTGAGGGGCAGATGGGGCTCATCAACCTGGAAAGGTAGCCCATCTAGGAGAAGGAAAAGTCTGATCCTGAACCTAAAACTGCCTTGTAGGGTATCTTCTGGTAAACAAAAGGCTTAGGAGTAAACTCTACATAAATTTGGAGTGGAGTCCCTAAAATGGTCAAATGGCGGCTTGCATGCTCCCTTCTGGCTCCTCCTGCAGCCAAGCTGGTGACAAACGTATTGCTCTGCTTTCCTTTAGACCACATCAGTAAGGCCAAGAGTGGGGTCTGATCATAGGCGCCGACTCCATGGGGCTTGAGGGGGCCCGAGCCCCCTCAAAAATTCGTTTGGGGGGCTCTGCCCCCCCAATAATCTCCGGCGCCCCTCCAGCAGAGCGCCATCGCCGCCCCTCCCCCAGCCCAAAATGCACAGGGAGGGGCGGGCTGCATGCCTCCTGCCCTCCCTCCCGAGCAAAAGCTCCACCCAATTTCCTTTGGAGCTGATTAATAGGCGCAGCACGCTCTCCCCTATTCGCTCATGAGGAGGCGGCGCCACTTTATTTGCATATTCATGAGCTTATTTATTATTCATGAGCTTTCCCGGGCCCCCCCAATATTTTTTATAAGTCCGCGTCCCTGGGTCTGATTGTCTTGACAGCCCAGGACCTCCATACTCCATCTGGTGTGGGCAAACTGGTTGCACTCCTCTAAGTCCACCTCTGAATTATAGCTGTACTTAGACAGTTAATCTTTGGTGGCAAAGACTAACCTGTAGCTAGATAATCCAGTCAACATCTCACACCTCTTTTCATTTCTTTTAAATCTACCCATGGTGTTACTGTGCATTTGTATGAATGAGAGAGCAATTGGATCAGGACCCCACGCTGTTTCCCCTGATCAAAATGCCCCCTTCCGAGGTGCTTTAAGGCCCGTTAGGGAAAAACATAAGAATATAGGAAGCTCTCTTATGCTGAGGCAGACCATCTAGCTCAGTAATGTCAGTGCTGACTAGCACCATCTCTCCGTGGTTTCAGACAGTGGACATTCCCAACCCCACCTGGAGAGTCGGAGGATTGAGCCTTAGACCTTCTGCATCCAAAGCAATTGCTCTGCCACTGAGTGATGTCCTTTCCCTGTACAAATATATGGAAATCAGCCAGGAATTGCTTTTTATCCCATCAATTGGAGCCCAGAAATTTGAAGCTCTAAACCACTTGCATACCAATCCCATCTAAAATTTACTGTTTACATTCAGCATTATTTTGTCTTCTTTTTTTCTGACAGGATGGCACATACGGGTTGGACTGTTCAGAGCGCTGTGACTGCAGCCATGCAGATGGCTGTCATCCCACTACTGGCTATTGTCGCTGCCTCCCAGGATGGTCAGGTACATTTGAAATGAGTGGGGCAATAGTACATCCAAAGTATGGTAGAGTTTTACCATTGTTCCTTAAATCAGGGGTGGGGAACCTTTGGCCCTCCAGGTGTTGCTGAATGGCAACTCCCAGCATCCCTGTCCATTGACCATGTTTGCTGGGGCTTATGGGACTTTTAGTCTAGAGCATCTGGAGGGCCAAAGGTTACCTAACCATGCTGTAAATGGATAAGATCTGCACATAACAAGTATAAGAACCAAATGACACAAATGTTGGAAATGGTTTGAAACCAGCATACTTAACCAAGACAGTTATATTTGGGGGTGAAATTGAGTTACGGGTCTCCAATCCCAAATAGGTTTCCCATCTTGATCAGGGGCTCACTCCAGTTTTTAAAATGAAAAATTGCCACCTCCCTGTTTGCCCTCAAAGTAAAACAGTATCTTAGGGGGCAAAATGAAACCAGGAGGGAGTGACTTTCAGTACAAAAGGGGTACTTTCTCCTTTGCCTCTTTCAAGCAAGGTAGCTGCAGGACAGACTGCATCTGCTGAGTGCCTGGATAGGCGATCACCTGGGAATTATATGTCTGCCACTCTTGAGTTACATGAGGAAAGAAAACCATGATATAAATGTGCTAAATATACCTAAATAATCCTGTTCACGGAGCACAAGGATTCTACTCCTTTTCTGTAAAGGCAGATAATCTCATGGTTATTCCAGGAACTGAATGTTACGGGAAGATCACTTCCTGGTGAGTTGGTGACTGGCACAAACTGTTTCCCTCTACAGCAGTGGTGGGGCTATTATAATGGCCAACTCTTAGAGGTTAATGGAATCTGATGGGAGTCTCTGAGACCCGTCAATGAGTTTTCGCTTGGCGTGGTTCCTGTCAGGAGCCATGAGACAGTTTAGTAGTGAGAACTGATGAGCAAGGCAGGACCAAAGAACAAGCCAGGACTCAGAACCAAAGAACAACTGGGAATACTGGAAGACATCACGGCTCAGGAAGACCTACTTGCCTTAGCAAGACTCAGCTAGGAAAGGAAGTCCTTTATACTCCTTCCTGCCCTCTGCCCAGAAAGATCCACTTCGGATGGGCATAGTCAGCCCAGAAGGGTTTTCACTGAGAAGACTGTTGGCTGCAGTTCACTGGCTCTTGACATGGGGCGTCCATTCAGCTCCCTGGTTTACCAAGAACTTAGGGGCAATTAAGCAGATAGGGATATGGCTTGAATGCAAGTAATGGAAAATGTGGTGTGAACCTACCTGGACCCTGAGATCATCCTATGAAGCCCTTCTTTGTGTTCATGAGAGGTCCAGAGGGTGGCAACATGAGAATAGGCCTTCTCTGCAGTGGCTCCCCGTCAGTGGAATGCTCTCCCTAGGGAAATTCACCTGGTGCCTTCATTATACACCTTTAGGTTCTAGGCAGAAACCTTCCTCTTTAACCAGGCTTTTAGCTAATTGATATCTGGTGCCCTTCTATATGTGTTGTGGGAGGGAGGATTATTGGGTTGCTTCTGTTTTTATTTTTATGATGCATTTTGTGTTTTTTATATTGTAATTTTATGCTGTGAACCACCCTTAGATCTATGGGTATAGGGCGGTATGCAAATTTTAATAATATCTCGTCTTTGAATCTCTCTTGTCCTAGTCATATGCTCTAAATTGGGTGAGGATCATGTGGCTCTCCAAATGTCGCACTACAGCTTCCATAATCTCTTACCACTGTTGGCTGGGACTATGGTAAAGGATGATGAGAACTGAAGTCCAACAACAATTGGCAAGCCACAAGTTCCCCATTTCTCTCCTGACCCCGTACACCAGACCTGGCTCTCAGCAAGCCGGTGTGGATTTGAGGGTTGGGATTTTATGTCCTCATTGAACAATTCCACCTCTTCCAAAAGCAGCCACGTTGATGTCGTGCTTCAAAGTATGCCTGTAAGATCAGCAAATCTGGACTCTGTTTGACAAGGATTTTCCATTAAACCGTTATGAAAAGCACAGGTTTTTGTGGAAAGAGTTGAAGCATTTTACAGGTCATGGCACATTATTTTTTGCTGTGCTGTGACATTTTGTGGAAAATGTCAGGGCTTGCTGATAACTTTGGTGCAAGAGCACTTAAAAACTTATGTTAGGTCTCCAGTTATGAAGTTTTACTAGTGTACTATGAGGCATTATAAACACTGGTAGCATAGCAGACTGTAATACTGATTTATGGATTAGTCCTGTCTGTTTTAAGGCAGCAAATTGGACTGTGGACTCTATGTTTGTCTACTGTAAGATTTTTGTTTTTGTTTAACACAGCACTGTTTTGCATCCTGATTGAGAGACCCGATAAAAGCATGTGCCCTTACCACTAGTGCTGAAGTAGATACACAGCAGCAAGCTGCTGGACCCCCAATCCAATACTTAGCCCCCCCTTCCAATTCATGTGCAAGCAGTGCACCTTTTTTCATGTTGTTTGTGTTTGGGGACAAAGTACAAGGTTGCTCTTCAACCCATCACAAAAACTTCATTTGAGGTCCTCTTGCGGGAAATGGAACAATGTATCTTGTACTTCTTTTCCTATTCAAAACAAAAAAATTCCTTCCAGTAGCACCTTAAAGACCAACTAAGTTAGTTCTTGGTATGAGCTTTCGTGTGCATGCACACTTCTTCAGATACACTGAAACAGAAGTTGCCAGATCTTTCTATATAGTGAGAAGGTGGGGAGGGGTATTACTCAGAAGGGTGGTGGGAATGGGTGATTGGCAGATAGCTGTGATGAGCCTGTTGACGACTCTTAACGACTGCAATAGGTCTTACAGGAAAAAGCAAGGGGTGAGAAGGTGAAAAATGGCTTTGTCATTTTTTCTTTTCCTATGCATTTGCCAGCAATAGAAAAAATTGAAGCAAAGGAATTGCAGTTTGTGGCATTAATACAGCCTCTGAAACGATACGGGTTCTAAAACTAGCAACACGTGGACCTCTGACGAAAGCAAAACACACTTTTTGTGTGAGTTTGTGCCTTTGCTTTGTTTTCGGTCGACACCATTCTTTCACCAGCGCTATTTAGGCCTCTCCCTCCGTACCATTCCATGCTCTCCTTGTGGCAGTTCCACTGAGTTTCTCTTTCTCTTAAATTATCCTTTCCGGCTGCCTCAGCTCCTTGCTTAAGTACACACTCACACTGCACTCTGGTTTTTGTTTTGCTTTTTTATGTGCCTGCGTTGTTCTGCTTGAGAATACTCTCCTGAAGTTTTTCTCTGAAGGATGCACCTGTGTTCCCTTGAGTGCCTGCCCTTACTTTAATAGGAAAATAGCTTTAAGGAGTTAGAAGAGGTGTTGAAACTTTTTGTAAAAGATTTTCTGATACCTCAAACCAATCATATTGACCTCAATAACTGTTTTATCAGGAAAATCAAGAGTTCTGTAGCAACTCAAAACTAATGGATTTATTATGCCAGAAGACTTATGAAGTTGATTTCAACACATGCATTTATATATTTTCTTACTCTTTATATTCTGCCTTTCTTCCATCATGAAGCCTAAGGCAATATACATATGTTTCCTCGGCAATTGCCCAAACCTAGACAGGCTTAGCTCCATCAAGGGGGATGGCCTCAGACCGTGCACTGAGTTCTACAGGTCTTTCTTTTTTCTTTCTTTCTATCATCTATCTATCTATCATCTATCTATCTATCTATCTGTCTATCTCTGCGACAGATGAACATGGCTACACCTTTGGATGTGCTAATCAGGAGTTAGAGCACTATGATACAGTTCCTGTGGGCATATAGCAGAAAATACCAAATATCGCTCACAATAAAAATATTCTGGGGATAAATTAATGGGGGTAACTATAGTTTTCAGTGTAGGACTTACTTTGCTTTGCTGTATTAGCATCCTCATATCTAGTGTTGCTTGGAAATTCTAAGAAACAAAAAAGTGTAAAAATTATGGGAATCATTGGTTAAAATCAGTGCAGTTTTGAAATGTTCAGTCCACAGTTTTGTATCCAGTTGTATCCAAACATAGATGAAAAATCTGCTCCTTGATCCCAAGAACTACCATGCAAAATTTGGTTATAGAATCATAAGAGCTGTCCAGTGTGGTGTAGTGGTTAAGAGTGGTAGTCTCGTAATCTGGGGAACCGGGTTCGCGTCTCCGCTCCTCCACATGCAGCTGCTGGGTGACCTTGGGCCCGTCACATTTCTTTGAAGTCTCTCAGCCCCACTCACCTCACAGAGTGTTTGTTGTGGGGGAGGAAGGGAAAGGAGAATGTTAGCCGCTTTGAGACTCCTTAAAGGGAGTGAAAGGCGGGATATCAAATCCAAACTCTTCTTTTCTTCTTCTTCAAAATGCATAGTGAACAAACAGCTTTTCAAAATACGTACTGGAAATCAGAAGTGCCAACTTGAATGGAATATTGGGGGGTAGGTAAGCCCCGCCCACATAATCAATCACAGGACACGGCACATCCACACCATTTGAATGGCAATGCCCATCAACTTTCGGAGGGGCAGCCCCCTCAAATATTTTATTGGGGGTGTTAGCCCCTAGGAGCTGGCCCCTATGGTGGAAATGTTGGTTTTGAAGAGACCTTTATTGTGGCTTTTCAATATGAGAAATTTCTCCTGATACTCAGTCTACTAGCTGGCAGTGTGAGCTAGTTACTGGGTCTGCCACAGCAATGGAGGTGTGGAGAGTTGAGTCCCAGTGCTGGGATAGGTTCTCCTTTGGGGTCAGTGTTGTTGGCCTGGATCTTATGTTCCACAGCCTCAGTGCAGTACATCACACTGTTGCACTACTAAAAGTATTTCACAACACGATCCTATATTTGCCTGCTTATAAGTCAACCCCACTGAGTTCAATGACACTTCCTTCCTTGTAGGTGTGTGTATAATTAAAGTCTTAATATATATAACATTATAACAACATAGATGTTACCACTCAAAGGATTATTTACTTCTTTCACACAATTACAGATGCTGCAGGAATGCTAATTTAGATGTGAAACACTTGGCA